CCCCAAAACCCCAAAACCCCAAAACCCCATGGCTGAAGAATTTCATCCTTATTTCAAATTTCAAATAATAAAATAAAAATGAGACAAGGATCAATGGCTCAAGCAAAGTAAAGTGCTGCTACAAACATTAATAAAGCGCATACAGTAGTTGAATAACAAATCAAATAACAGTAACTAGCAGGGGTCTAACAGCAATAGAGAAAGCTTACTATAGCTGAGAGGAAAGAACTTCAAAAGAAATTCATGTTTTAATCTAAAACAGACCGATTCTTGTATAAATTACCTGGGTAAATCAAAGTTACTATTTATATTATTGAAACAACTTATTAACCTTGAGTTATAGTGAGATCAATGGTCAACAGTTTAAGGTAGATAACTGTAGTGAGTGCAATATATACATTCATGATTATCATGACAGTGTATATGTGGATGATTGCAACAACTGTGTTATCGTATTCGGTCCTTGCAGGGGCTCTCAATTCATAAGAAACTGTAATAACTGCAAGATAATCAGCTCGTGCTAGCAGCTAAGATTGAGAGATTGTCACAACTTAGAGATCATGATTTATACTTAAACAGAGGTAAAGATTAGATAGTCGCTATAAATATAAATATAGCCAATTATTGAATCTAGTTCTAAGATAACTTTTATGTGCCACCAGTATTACTATCCAGAGATGCTTGAGCAAATGACCTAAGCAAATCTAAGTATTTGGAATAATAAGTGGAATCAAATATTTGACTTCACCCCTGATAAAACAGGTTAAAAGCTGAATTATAAGATTGACTACTCTCAAAATAGCTACTTCGCCTCAACACTGGAATAGATGAATCAAATTCTTCAGAGTGTAGAACAGATTAAAAACAAGCCAGTTATATTCCTAAAAGGTAATTAATCATCTCATTATCGATAATAATATATTCAGAAATTACTGATCAAGAATTAGACAAAATTGATTTGAATTTCGACAACTCAGATACAGTTCCCACTGTTCCATTCACTTACGTATAAGAAATTAATCCAATCATTAGTGTAAGAAATATACTTTAGTAACAATGAACTATTAGTCCATGTTCATTTTGATTTATGGTGAGACAGTTGACCAAATAAACTATCCAGCAGTGTATGATGTCTATGTGGATATCTAGACTCATATTATAGATTCATTACCTAGCAATATTTGGTTTTAAGAGACTAGGAAAACCACTATTACTCCAGATTAGTAAGCAGAGTTAGCTTCAGTTGCTGGAAATTCTGGAAAAGTTTAATCAAGTAAACCTAGTAAGTATTATTATCATGCTAATTTGTGCAGTGGAGGTAGTTGGAATTCAGATAGGCAGTTCATTGGATAAAGCTAAGTTCCAACAGCTATGTGTCTAGCCTATTGCAACCTAAATTCTAGCTCAGTTATAAAGAACCTAGTTGCAATTTGTTTTCAATTTTGATCTTGCTTCGTCTAAAAAGTTAGCAAATCTCTTGTTTAAGACTTATAACATTGAGAACAAAGGTCATGATATTAAAGGAAACAAATGAATTCTAAACATAAATTTGATAAATATATAATTAGCTGTAAATTTAATTCACTACCTCATGGGGTTTTGGGGTTTTGGGGTTTTGGGG